GACTCACCTGCCAATCACCTCTTTCGGATCATACTTCTGATAGAATTCTTTGGCTCCTGCCCAGTCAGGGAGCTCATCTCCCAGCTGCAGATCGCGGGTCATGTTGGGTCTTAAGAGAGAGAGAAAGACAGAGAGTCAGATCTGGCTGTCCAGAGAGGACATTATAATTAAAAGCTCAGTGACCACAGCCTGGACATAGAAACTTGACACAGACAGACCTGGCTGTCCAGAGAGGACAGGCTCAGTGACCACAGTCTGGACACAGAAACTGGACACAGGCAGACCTGGCTGTCCAGAGAGGACAGGCTCAGTGTTCACAGCCTGGCCACAGAAACTGGACACAGGCAGACCTGGCTGTCCAGAGAGGACAGGCTCAGTGACCACAGTCTGGATACAGAAACTGGACAGACAGACCTGGCTGTCCAGAGAGGACAGGCTCAGTGACCACAGTCTGGACACAGAACCTGGACAGAGGCAGACCTGGCTGTCCAGAGAGGACAGGCTCAGTGACCACAGTCTGGACACAGGCCAACCTGATTGCCCAGAGTGGACAGATTGAGCTCTCACTGCGAGCAGGGAACCCTCCACAAGGTCAGCCCGTTCTCGTGGACACACAGTGACTGCTCAGAAACTGGACCTGGTGGACACGGTGATCAGCTGCACTTTCTGCTGCGCTGTGAGACATACTCTGGGATTAAGACCAGCATTCTTCCCAAACATAACACACAGAGTCCCAGAATTCCCACAGCCCCCAGTGCTGCTGGGAGGGGGCCTCAGCAGGGAGCCTGTCTGGTCGTCTCACTGGTGTACATGTCTCTGAAACTGGTGGCAGATGCGACTGTGCTGGCAGCACCGTCCAGCCGCCTGTCGCACCGCGGAGGCTCGCCGAGCTCTGGACAGAGGGACAGCGGTATGAGACCCCTGCTGCGCCCCTCGCCGACAGGTCCATCCCCCCTGCCCCCCTGACCCCTGACCCCGCAGCAGGGAAATCCCAAAACCTGACGTGACCTTCCTCACTTCCACCATTGGCCTGGCCAGCGACCGGGAGGGGCAAAGGGGCACCTAGTACCACAGGCGTGCTGGGTGGGGCAGGAGGGGCATCCAGTACCACAGGCGTGCTGGGTGGGGCAGGAGGGGTATCCTGTACCACAGACATGCTAGGTGGGGCAGGAGGGGCACCTAGCACCCCAGGCGTGCTGGGTGGGGCAGAGGGGCATCTAGCACCCCAGGCGTGCTGGGTGGGGCAGAGGGGCATCTAGCACCCCAGGCGTGCT